ATTTCATCTTTCAGTCAGAAGTACAACCAATCCTGCAACCCAGTGTTATCATTCCTGTTGGTAGCATGAGGTAACTATCAAATAAAAAGAAAGAAGTATCTGGTCTCTGCTTGATTATTTTTCCTCATTCCTTGATCTCCTATATGCTAACATACAACATATGCTAGCATATCAATAGAAAATGTCAAAGCCTCTTCATTGTATTATTCACTTCCCAGAGCAAGGGTGACCTGTCAATTACCCTGAAGTTCTGGCAGATGACATCACTGTTCCTGCTCTGAGAAAAGGGTCAGTATTGTGCCTCGTCTCCTCCCACAAAAATATCACAAAATAGGATAGGCATGGCTGAGACATCAAGGAAGGGCAAAATCACAGACCGCTATTTTCTAAAGCATGTAAGAGGCAGTAAGAATCCACTCTACAGACCATGCTTGTATCTTTATAGTGATATAGTGCAAGCAGGAGCAAAGCCTGTCTCAGACATCTCCCGAACATTAAGTTCATAGATACTGTATATCTGTCCATGCTCTACAGAAGACATTTAAAGACAATCAGAGTGGACTGCAAAAAAGGAGTGGGCCTCTCTCCCTTTCTTCAACAATAACTGTATAGTAAAACAGATGCAATATATATGCACTTTTACAAAGAGACAATCCCCAAAATATGTAAGCCTCCGTGTTTATCCCACAAATGGAAGAATGGGGTCTATTCATATTTGTATTCTGTCCATTATAAAAAAACAAAGGAGACCTTGGGAAATTATGCTTACCGTCTGGGTTATTTGCAGTTGTCAGAAGAACCAGAAGCGAAGTCAATGAATCTGGCAAGCTATGGAAATACCCTTGCCATTCCTTGTCCTGTTGTGCATCCTAGTCACAAAGATCTGAGGCATTAGCAAAGCAATAGTGAACAACTAAAAAAAACTACCAAAAAACCACACAGAGTCACAAGCATCACATTGCTGTCTAATCTGAGTACACATGACAACACATACACATGCATAAGCAAACAACTGGGCCTATCAGGTAGAAAAAGCCAAGCCAAAGAACTATTTGATTATTGTAGGCTTTTTGGGCTGTTCGGCCGTGTTCTGGACGTTTTTTTCCCTAAAGTTTTGCCAGTCTCTGTGGCCGGCATCTTGAGAGGATGAAGATGCCAGCCAAAGAGACTGGTGAAATGTTAGGAAGAAAAAACCTCCAGAACACGGCCAAACAGCCCAAAGAACCTACAACAACCATCAGAACCCAGCCATGAAAGCCTTCAAGAATACAAGAACTATTTCTTAGTTTTACTGCAATTACTTCAGGCAGACTAGAAACTGCATAAGAAAATGTTTGATTACGGGAAGTAGACAAGAGCCAACTACTGTTTGCATATACACAAAGGCAGTAGCATGATCTTGGAAACAGTGGCTAAACTGCTGTTGCACAACTACACACACACACAGCTCAAAGTCTTTGGTCACTGCAACTGGACCAAGGCAGAAGTGCTATCCACAAACTTCTGCTGGCACACTGGACAATTGGTCCTGCAGCCAACTGCACAACTGAAGAGTATAATTACTTGTTGATGGACATAGAACCCAGCACATTCATGCCAGCATAACTCATTACACCAGTATGAATAGGATTTTGTCGACTTAAGAAATTGTTTAAAAAAGATTGTTTACATTTAAATTAAGAAATAAAAATACATTAAAATGTAATAATTTTTAGATTGCCTTTTCTTTAAAGGCATCCTATTCACGTACAAACATTATGCATCTTCCAAATGTGATCTTGTCTAAGCTAGTCTCTTGAATTCATACAATTAAACTGGTTGTAGAATTTTCAAGTCAACATTGTTTAGCACCAATTTCATTTAACAACAATTTCATTTTACACTATTTTAAAGTCATCAATGCTGAATGGAAAATTCACATGCTAAAATTCTAGAAATGCAAAGAACTTTCATTTTCCTTTTATATGTCCCTAAATTTATATCTGGAAGACAAATGTATGTTTTAAATTCGATGGAAAAGACAGTATATGATAGGGGAGAAGTTTGGAATTGAGAGATTGAAGAAGGAAAAAGCTTAAATACTTTCTTGTTCAGCTGTAATTCAAAACTTTACCTCCTAAATTTAGGGGAACTATTTCACCCAGATTCACTTCCGGTCTGTAGTCAGTTCCTGATTGAATATGCTTAACAAGAATTAGGATCGAGTACAAATATCAAGGGTATACACCAAGCACAAGATTCAGCTCAGAGTCCAATTCGGGACTTGGAAAATAGTCTAATCCAGAATTTAGAAAACTAACGCTGAGATTCAGAAGTTCAAAGGCCTCCCTGTTGTTTTAATTACAGGTGAAAATCAAAAGAACAGCCAGGCTATTTTTCCTGGGCGTTAGAATGAACGAAAACCTACCTGCCTAGTTAAGACTTTGGGAGAGAATTATGCCTGCTAATTTCAGACAGATCAATGCAGGGGCTTTCTGCTGTGCAAACATAAAGTTTTCTGTTTTGACTGTCAGTAATGTTTTTAATTTTTGGCAGTTCTGAACAACAGCTGCCCCCTTTGAAGGAATGACAGCTGCCAAATGCAGAGGAAGACATATAAGGTTAGAGAACCAACCAACATCCTTGGCTACAATGGCATAGGCTCTCTGATAGTGAATGGGACCTCGGACAAAAAGTGAGTTAACTGCTCATGTCAGCAAAGTGCCTTCATCAAGAGAGCAGGTAGGTAGGTAGGTAGAGGCAGCAAGAGTGTAGGTAGGCAGGTAGAGGCAGCAGTGCCTCATAACTAATGAAATCTTTACATGTTAGTCTGTACAAGCATTACAGGCAAAACCAAATAAAAATTAAAATAAAAGAATATTTTTAAAAAAAGTGGTGGCACCTTAAAAACTAACTTATATTTTAATGTGAGCTTTTGTGGATAAAATCCACTTCTTCAGACATAAGAGAGAAATATAACACATGGAAAATATGTATTGATGGCATCAAAATACAGAGCTCATAGCAGATTGGTAAGAAAGCCAACGTGGTATTTTATCACCGTGGAGTGATAGCTTGTTTGATATTCAGAACTATTCCATTGAATTTTGTGCTGTAAAGGGTTTAAGAACCTCTCTGTTAGAATGATAATGTTGATGATGATAAGAAACACATACACACTAAAGAACTCCATGACGAGATACAGGAAATGAGTTCAAAATAAAATATAAATATTGTACTGTAGGATCTACAGATAGGTGTATTTGTGCAGTGATGGGGTTTGCCTAATGTTAAGGAAAGCATACATGCAAGACTCTTGAAACATTAATAAGATTAGGAGGCTTGTACAATGCAGAAAGACATAATGGGAAAAAGACTGATCTGAGGGAAACAAATCGGGTACTTGATATAAGTCAAGACCTCTATCCATACAAGACTAGAAATAGTAAAAAATAAAATAAAGTTATCAGAAATATCCCAGGTGTGCGCACACATGCATCACAGATGGACACACAGAAACAGAAAGTTCCTTTAATAACAACTAATTGTACTCCTAAAACAAAACAAAATATTATAATTGCACAAGCAATTATCTACTTTCTCACTATTCAAAGAGAACTAAAGAAGATTAGAACCAGCAAAAGCAAGCTCAATCAAGAACCAAACAAACAGCAACCTCTTAAATCTTAAGCATGTGTGCTCCCTCTCCCCCAAGACCAAAAGAACAAGAAAAGCAATAGTCACAATCCCTTTGCCAATGCATGACTAAGGAATCTCTTGAACAACTTCCCCTAGGAGTAGAAAGCAGACCTCACATTTGCTCAATCCTACACCCTCAACACTTTAACAGAAACTAAACTGTGAAAGATACTATTTCTAGAAATAAAGCTTCCCTCCTCCCAAAGCACATAACATTAATGAGGCTTGCTACAGGATCCACTGTTGGTTCTGATGGCTTCACAGAGAACCATCCTTTGACACAGAAAATATCAGAAACAGTCCAAAGAGGTGTAATTTTGCAGGCCACTTCTGAATACACATCCCTATTCAGTATGCAGGAGGAGAACCAAAATAAGGAAAGCAAAAAGTGCAGCACAAGAAGAGAACAGAGATTCAAGTAAAAGAATGTAATTGAGTCAGATGTCTCCATTTTATGAGATGATGCAATCAACATGCTCATTTTCAAGTGGTAGTGACTTCACCACTTCTGTTTCACTCAAGCAATGATCTATGCAAAACATTATCATGCAGGAGGATTTTTACATGTGTAAATCTCTCTCACACAATTCATTTGTACCTTCCTACACAAGATGCTTTTCACAACATTGGCTCCCTACATGAAGACAACGAGGCAAAGGTCTATGGGCAAGCTTTGCTAGTATGAGCAACCAACCTTATACAATCATAGCCATTAGGGTAAAATTAGCTCTCACAGGCAAAATGGTACAGAGCTAAAAGAGAACTATTGTCTTAGCCACACGAAAGGCAATTGCATTCTTGGAGTGAATATGAAGATGTTTAGGACATATACTGAGAAACCTCACTGAGATTGCTTAGCCTCGCCTCTTCCAGTTCTGCCACGCAAAAAGAAAATGTGGTATGATTGTGGTATAAACAAGAATTAGTAAAACTATCTGTCAAGGAAAAAAAGATAAACAAACAAAAAAAAACCCAACAACCCAGTTCTAGTGTAATGTTATGCCTAAACACATTTGAGAAAGAAACAGCTCTAAAAATGAGGAGGAACAGGGGAGGACAAACAATTACGTTTGCCAACATTTCAGATAATGACTGCTCTTAAAAAGCTAACCATGAAATTAATTGTCCATATTAGTTACCTTTGTTCGAGCAAATAGCAGCATGCCAAACATGGTAAAGAGAAACAGGTGAACAGCTAATAACAGCATAACACTATTAGGGAGAAAATACAAATGCCAATATTAATTCATTCATTAAAATGCAAGGTGGATGCAAGTGGGAAGAGACCAGTACATAATAGTCAACTAGGATAAATAACATTTCAAAACAACAAAATTATCTTCAATTCAGAAAAATAACTGAGCTGTGAAAATTATAACAATCTAATGAATTAAGCCAAAGGGGGTGGAAGGGGGAGTACAGGAAGGCCAGCTCTGGTTAAAATCTTCCAGAGATGGAAATTTACCCAGCCAGTCCATTTTTCTCCATTTTTCTCCTTCAAGAGTGGATAACACAATTTGGGGAAGAATGACCTAATTTTTGCAGTTTTTATTAATTTAACTATTGGCTGAAGCCAACGACTGAATTATTTACTTACCTTGCAATTTCTGGCAATGTCCTCTTAATGCTTTTTAATGTCTTCTTCATCATTGAAGAGTTCTGAAGGAGGAAGAATGGTCGAAGGATTCGTCTTATTCTCAGATTCTAAGATTTAAGGAGGCGAAATTCTGTTTTGTCATCATGGAAAGAAAAAAAAGGCAGCATCTAACCAAGAGAATCAATTGTTTCCCAACAGAGTATTCTTCAATTTGTAGGGTAAGTTGAATCAAACAATAAAATTTAGTTTCGCAAAACACAAGAGCTAAATTCCAATTATTAGTCAAACTAATATAGAATCACTGAATTGTTGGAAGTCTGGCAAGACTATGCCAGGAACTAACAATTGCGTTTCAGTCAATTAGAACAGGTAAACATGCAACCTCAAGAGAGCAAACTTGTGATTTCAAAAAGACTGAAACAAAGTGAGGCCTGGTTTTAGAGCTTCCAACTGATTCCAAATCACTCTATGCTCTGGCATAGCAGCAGAGAGGGAACTGAGTTTGGTAGTAGCTGCTTCTCCCTCTCTTAAAATGAACTACTGTGGCATTAACAACCCCACATCCACTGAAACCAGTCCTCCTGCTAGTCTAAATGCTCCCTGATATTTGGGGCTCGGTTGGGACCTGTGGGCTGTGTATACTGCAGATCTATTTCCTCTCCTTTCCCATCCAACTCTTAAACAACATACAGTATCTTAATCTAAATTCTAAACATCTCATGAAGGAAACCAGCACAGAAAATTCTGCTGTGGCTGTGAGGACCTGCAAGTTCAAATCTATCTTCTCCACCCCTAAGGTCTGAAACTGTGTTTAAGACTGAGGATAGGAATTGCTGCTCAGTCCATTAGGATTGCTATCTCAGTCTAATGGAGATGAAATCATTGTTTAATTACAAGGCCAAACATGGAATGAACATGTAGGAGCATCGAGGGGAAATGAAGTTTTTTCAACAATTTATTTCCCACATGAGGTGGTGATGACCAATAAACAAGTCACTGTGGTGTGTTAATAATTTTAAATATCCAACAAACAACCCAACTTCTAACAGAAGTTTTTAAAAATGAACACATTAACAGAAAGCAATAACGAGAACAATTGTTAGCAAAGATACATGCACCATCCCAGGACAACTTAAACCATAGAATGAGTTTATTAAAGTTAAGAAAAGGTCTCTGCAGGATTAATTTTCACCTGCCATTTCCCCATGACAGTACTTCCTTGTACACTGCAAGATTTCACCATGTCCTGAAAAACAACAAAAGCTTTCTGCAAAATACAACTACCTGTAGAGGGTGACCACAGAACATTTGAGAGCAGGCAGATTTTTGACAAGAGAAAATGAGGGGATAAGATTATTCGATCCTATCTTTCATAAGATCTTATACTCTGCTGAGGGTAACAGAAGCTAAACGACATGAAAAATGCTGCTGCTGCCGTTGATAAGTGAGTTAGATACAAGCTAGAGATTGGAAGTTCAATTTCCTGCTGTGCCTCTTGGGGAGAAAAGCCAGCCTGCGTAGCCTAAGGCAATTTCTTCCATCCTCCAGAGATCCATTTCCTGAAACTTAGTGTGCATGGAGCAGAGACCTGTGTGGGCTAGCAGTCAAAAGTGTTTAATAAGAATCAGGGAAGGACCGAGTTCAAGTACTCATTCCGTCACCAAGTTCACCTGGTAGCCTTGGGCCAGTCATCGATACTCAACCCTACCAACCACTGAGGGTTGTTATGAGGAGCAAATAAATGGTGTTGGGCTAGGGAGCTCTCAGAGAAGTCCAGGATTTGAAAAAAATATATATCATGGTGTAGAGATGAACTATGCTTGTACAAGATTATATAGGCAGAGGAGTATAAGAGTATAAACAGAGGATATCCACTCTGACTTGACACTAGAAACACTGAGCAAGCAACCAAACAACTTCCAATCTCTCTATCTATCTCTCTCTATCTCAAACTCACATGTGCACATGTGCGCACACACACACACACAAAAGCAATCAAACAACTTCCAATCTCTCTCTCTCTCAAACACACATGCGCACACATATACCTTACCTCATTACAGTAAGAACTCAGGGAAACAGTCCAATCTGCAAGGGAGGCTAAAAGCACCAGGATATACGCTACTAGCCACTTGGTTTTCCGAAATTCTTCCCATCCTATGAGATAACTCTGATGAAGCAACAGAAGTTTGAACAACATTGAACTCACTGTAACATATATAAGATATTTCAAGGAAAGAAAATGACTCATATATATGACTCATTTTCATATGCTTTTTGACAAAATGTCCAGACCAGTCATTGCGAAATTGGAGTATTCTTTCCTGTGATGGCTTTTCAGAAAAACCATTTGCCTACTCACAGTCCAGAATCAGAATTATCCTGGGATCCATCTGTTATGGAAATATAGGAAGGGAATGGCAATTCAAATGCATTTTGTGAGCTTAGCCGCAAAGACATAATATGGGATAAAGCTTGTTAACCACTGCCCAGGGCATTGTGGAGAATACTGCTGGGTGCACCAAACAAGGCAAAGACAACACAAAAGAAAAACACCACATTTTTATCCTTAAATTCATCAGATTATAAATATTTACTGCATAAGGCCAAACCTTCAAAAATAAGATTCCATGGCATTCTTTAAGCCCCTGGAGAGACATTTTTAGGCCTACAAAAATCCTCAACATACTAACATTCACATCTTCCTGTGTTCCCAGACACTTATTTTTCGTATACATTTGAACAATCCCTTCAAAATCATACTAAGAGTGCAGAGTGATTTTTCATAAAGCGATGTCAGCATGATAACAAAATCTGCTATGGGGACAAGAGGTTAATGTCACCACCCCACTGGCACAATCCTGTGCTAAATATATTACAGTAGAAGTGTCCCTTCCTTATGTGTGTGCCACATGTGGCAACAACTATGGAAAGCGTTTCCATATTACTCTGTACTCTGTTGCAGCAAAATCAACAATAGTCTGGCACTTCAAAGGCCAACGAGTTTTATTTCGTACCAGCTTTCATATACTTCTACTCACAACTTCTCGCTTCACCACCCCTGTCTATTTGAAGTATCGCCTCAACAAATAGACAGGGTTAGTGAAGGGGAAACTGTGACATTTTCTGTTACATTCCACATCTTCCTCCTGCTTATATACACCTATTAAGGGAACCATAGATGCTGGGGATGCATTTCCGTCCCAGTGGGTCCACATACAGACCGCTGGCCACATTTTGCCTACTTCCAATATATGAGATAGAAACAATTTAAGAGCAAAATGAGCAGAATGTGGAAGATGTAAAAACTGACTCACTTCACTATCCACAGATAGCCAGACTTCAAAGCATACCTAGCTCCTTAAAGTCTGGTTTGAATCCCTGTGTAACGAAGGAGATTGATATTGAAATAGAGTTGCCCCCTTGTTTTCTGACAGTGAAGGAAAAACAAGATATGCCTCTAACTAAACAGCTTTAAAATATTCCTGAGGGTTCACTAACCTTTACAGAGACATCTGCTATAAAGATAATGAAGCAAAGGAGTTCAACACTTTCAGTCAGGCCACAAGGAGGTTCCCAGGCCTCTGAACGATATCGTACATCGGACGTGATGGTAAGCGAAGAAGGTGTTTCAATGAAAGCAAGAGCCAGGATTAGGGTAATGGTGGCAATCAAAATCCTGTGAGGTCAAGAGAGCAGAAATATGGTGATTAAAGCAAGAAAGGCCCTCAAAAAGTCAGCTTACCATAAATGGCTATGTAGTAAAATGAGCCAATTCTCTTATCATCAGAAGTAGGCAAAAGTTACCTTAGGAGGAAAAATCCAGCAATAATAATAGGTCTCTCTAGGCAATTAATAGGTCTCTCTTTACACCCTTACATAAAAAATAATAGTTTCTCTCCCCCAGAAGTGTTAGTGCAGTGCGAGCTGATCGAGGCCTTTATACAAGTTTCTTTCGACCAAATTTAGAGAACATAAAATAAAGCAGAAGTCAAGATATTCATATAGCATCTATGAAATGCTTTAGGCTCAGGGACACAAGTAATTAGTTAACTAAAGGCTGCCTGCTGTCTTACTATGCAACATTTTCTTCTATATCAGTGAACTCTAACCTTAGATCCCAAAATGTTATGGAGCACCACCTCTTAGAAGCTGAGGCCAGTGTGGTCAGTACCCAAGGATTTTGGCAGTCATAGCCCAAGAACACCTGGTGAACTAAGATTTAGAGTTACTGCTCTATATCCAGAGCACTGTGACTACCTTGTATACACCTATACACTACATGGGACCTAGAGGTCATATTAACTAAGCATTACTATGTCTTTTCTAGTGACTGTAATTGCACACATTGCTGCAAACTATACCAACAGCTGCCTGGTCCATATACTACATTACTCCCTTATTCAAGGGTGCCTTCTGTTCAAAGATGGGTCTGTACTGCAGCAGAAAACCCCACCTGGAGAAGTGGAACAAGCAACTTTTGACATTTCCACTTTCCCCACAGTTTCCCTTACAACATCCTAGAGGACTCCCTCAGTTCTTTGGTCCATGGCAAGAGGCAACAGTGGGATGCAGGAGGGAGGGAAAGCTAACTCTTCCTTTCCTTCTGGTCAGAACATCCCATGAGTGGAAATCTGCTGAGAAGAGGCTCAGGCTGGAATATTATTTAGCATTGATGCGACTAATGAACATTATTGAAAAGTTAGAATGGGCTGCTCATAGAAGAAAATATATTGAATGAACTCCATGAAGAAAGGACAGCCAACACTGTTATTAAATATTGCTACTGCTCTTGTCACACCACCATGATAACAGAGAGGTATTTAAAATTGTGACTGGTATATTTTTCTGTGGTAATGGTCCTCCTCACAGCAGAACATGTTCTAGGCTGTGCACTGCTCGGAAACATTACATTTCCACATTTATTTTATAGAATGATGAGTTAGATTATCAGAGATACACTTCTGTCACTTGGTAGGCCTCTGGTCTGATCCTTCAGGGCCCAATTTATTTTCTTATTACCCATGGGTAGACATGTGAGATTTATCTTCATCTCCTGGGGGAGAAAAAGACAAATCTCACCAGCACAGGTGGCCAGCCTGATTAACACCCACTCCCAGAACCCACCCACCCTGGTCCAGTTACCACTCACCGTGCATCGCATGCAGCCAGCAGTATCAACAGCACACCAATCATGGCAGTAGCCTGGCTGGCACAGCCCCGCCTCCCTGCTCAGCCAGCCACACAGCAGCTAAGTGGGGATACTTGTCATCCTGCCCCCTTGCTGGATTGGTAAGAGCCAAGCAGGGAGGTGGGGCAGCACCAAGCACGGACTGCCGCGATTGGCACACTGTCGGCGATGCTGGTTGTACATGCTGTGCAGCGAGCAGTAAGTGGACCAGCAGGTTCGGGGAAAACATTAATCAGGCTGGGCACCTGTGCTGGCAAGATTTGTCTTCACCTGACTGGGGAGATGAAGATGAATACAAGTCTCCCTTGTCTATACGTGGCCATCAACAGCCTTTCAAGGAACAATGGCACATAATTTAACAAGTCTTTTTTTCCAGCCTACACATTTGCAGTACGAGAGAGAAAAATACTGGATGTGTCCAGATAGGGTTGTCTGCTGAGGGATCAGCCTCCAACAGCAGACTCTCTAAATAAAGCCCTCTACATTCTCCCAATTCAGTTTTATGAGCACAGGGATGGTGAGTTGAAGGAGAGGATGGGGAAAATCTTAGGATACACCATTATTAAAACTGTTGGGGAGGGAGGCTGGAGAACAACTAAACAAACTTAGAAACATGTCACAGAAAAATGTCCAGGACTGAAAGAAGCCATAAAGGGTTCACAGAAAAAGCAGTGATTGTGAGCATCAGACAACCAATGAAATAAAATAGTTAGAAGACCCTCCCAAGTTCTCACCATTGGCAAACATCTGAATAATACCATCGATAAAGCCATAGGGAGTTAGAATCCACACGGTGATTTATGGAACGATACTAGAGAGGCAAAAGACAAAGAGATAAAACATCACATGTTTTATCGCCTTCGCGAATACACAGATAAAACATCACATTTGCTCTCTTTCTCAAATGTGGAAGCCAAGCCATATGATGTCAAATGGCCCATGACAGACTAACTGAAAGCAACATCTACTATTGGATAAGCAGGTCAGAATCAAAGCATTCTTTAAATACAAAGCATGCAGTTGCTAGCCAGCTTTTCTTTTAGTTAGTTACCAGGGAACCGGGAACAAGACATACCAGATATGCTCTGAAATTGGTAGGTATATAGTTTTACTGCTCAATGCAATCAGTCTAGAATGTCATCCAGGCTCATATGTGCATCTGAATGTGATGGGGAGCAAATTCATTTGATAAAACATGTTTTGTTTTGTTTTAGTTCCTACATTTACTTAATATGTGCATCTGAATGTGATGGGGAGCAAATTCTTTTGATAAAACATGTTTTGTTTTAGTTCCTACATTTACTTAAAGGAACTATATGACAAAATGTCTTCCCTGACCTATGGTTTCCTCATAGTAGAAGGTTCTTTAAAATATCATGCAAAACATGGTTTTCCAAAATTCTAAAATTACAAGTGAGGGATGGGGTTCATATGTGTACACGTGTGTACACATACACACACACACACACCTCCGCAATTACCCAAGATATCCTAGTATTGCACAGCAAATGTTTGTGCCAGAAACCAAAAACTCTAAAGCAGAGCTTGGAAGTAACCCCTCTGAAGTAACAATATTACCTAAGGTAAAGGTAAAGGTTCCCCTTGACAATTTTTGTCCAGTCGTGTTCGACTCTAGGGGGCAGTGCTCATCCCCGTTTCCAAGCCATAGAGCCAGCGTTTTGTCCGAAGACAATCTTCCGTGGTCACATGGCCAGTGCGACTTAGACACAGAACGCTGTTACCTTCCCACCGAAGTGGTCCCTATTTATCTACTCACATTTGCATGCTTTTGAACTGCTAGGTTGGCGGGAATATTACCTATAACTTGCTAAATTTGGATATAACTAATGAACAATAAATTTTGACAGTAACATAGTGACGGGTAATATCATTGGGTGGTATATAAGTTTAAAAAAAATTCCTAATAATTTTTATTTACTATTGGTGGAAGATTTGGAAGGCTTTTCCCCCAAAATTTTAGGCCATCTTCTTAATGTTGTACATAGACTTTTTCTACTAAAAACAATTAAAAAGAAATAAAAAGTAACAGCACATTGAATAACTTCATAGGTAAAATTTGAAACATTGTGATGAGTAACAATAGTGATTCTCTTTAAGAAGTAATTGTTCAAGCTCTGCTCAAAAAGAAACAGAACAGAGGAACAAATCAGATACATTATTCCTCTTTTGTTAATTTAAACTTTGTTTTTGACTCACCATCTAATAGATCAGAGACAGACCAAATTTACCTGAATTGCATCTTCAATGAATACCACAGCTTGATTGAAGTAGAGATCGTAGTCATCAGGAACTGAAGAGTTCAAAATACATTGATCATTTCTGTGTTCCCAGCAAAGCTACTAACTAACCTAACAGTTCCCCAACAGTAACCAGTGTCCATCGCACAGAGAACAGAAGGCAAAACTTGCTCCAGCAAGAACAGGAATGTGGGATATGTATGGATCATAATTTCTAGAGTACATCTAGCAACCTGATCCATTACTACTGGTGGCAAATATCTAAGACAAGTTTAGACTATTGCCATATCTTACTGAGCACAACCACTGTCCTGCAAGAGGATAATCAATATATTAACCACTGCTAAGCAAAATATCAACAAGTAATAAGCAACAGATGAACTGACAAAAGTTTAAATCCAGTGACATGCTACCATCTTAGTCCAACAGAACTATCTTTCCATTACTTGCCTCCAACATTCCTCGTGTCACCTAACACTGCTCTAAGACGTTTCCCAGCCTTCTGCAACAAACTTTGAAGATACACAGATCTCTGCCAGGACAGATGGGAAATGTCCCTCCCTAGTTCCATTGACAGAAACAGTTCTATCTGTGGGGCAATCCTTTTGGATTCAGGGCACAGACTGGATAAATATGAGGAAACAGAAACTCTTGTACAGTGAGGATTATGATCAGCTAATAATGACATACTGTATTAAACAGAGTACCAATTGTACAATTTCAGATCACTCCATTGACACAAGACACACAAAAAAGAGCATTGGTTATTCTCTATAGACACCATCAACTAGCAAAAAGGAACACAGGATAGACTGATGGAGTTAGTATGCCAGAGCAATATAAAGATCTCTGTTGTCATTTTGACATCACAAATCAACAGGTTATTTATTGGTAGGTGGGAAATGAAGATCAGTAAGTGAGTTGTTATCACTATAGCTACCCATCACTACTGGCATGGAAGTAGTAGGGAGAAGTTTCAATTTTTAAAAAACTAAAACTTCTAGAATATCCCAGGCAGTACAGGATTCAGCATGGCCAGTGGTTGGGATGATATAAAATGTAGCATAATTTTATGTGAATGTTTCATGTGTTGGATAAAGTGGGCTACAGTCTACAAAAAGTTGAGCCACAGTAAATGTATAAGTATTAAAGATATCACAGGACTCCTGTTGGAGGTTTGTTGGTTGGTTGGTTTGCTGCAACAGAGTAACACAAGCTGCGGTCATACTGACAATAAGAACCACATTTAAGCGTCATTTAAATTGATTTAGATTTAATTGTTCACACCATGCAACAGTGAAATTGATTTTTATGCAAAGCAAGTTTTTTTCCAACTGGCTGGCCAGAACTTTTTAAAATACTTTGGTTCTGAAATTAATTCAATTTAATGTGGTCTTGTGGAAATGAGTCAATTTCAGCAGTGCAGATGCCAAAACCAGTTTAAATGCAGCCAATGGTGTCAATACCACATGAATTCAACCTGATTTTTAAACAGAATGAAGAAAAATCTATTTAAATTGCCAGCGTGACCAGCCATACCTTTGAAAATACATAAAGGGCAACACACAGTTAGCCTGTTGATCATGATTCCAGACTTTTGTTGGTCCCTTGGACTAAGATGGCAAATTCCAGGCTTCGGGCATTTGGCTCCGATGCTGTGAAATTCCCTCCTCCAGCATCTTCATATGGAACCAGAGCTGGGCAAACTTAGAAGAAATTTGCAAACCTTTCTGTTCAACTTGGAGCCGTAGTTGTTGGGTGTAGGGAGAGGTAAGCAACCAGTGTATTTTCTTTGAACTTTTAAGCTGTTTTTTAACAGCTGGTTAATTCTTCTTAATCATTGTTTATTTTGAGGAGTTTTATGTTGATGTACATACACACACACACACACACACACACACACACACACACACACACACACACACACACACACACACAATATTAAAGTTATTGTTAAATGTTGTGTTGCATGTTTGTACATTATGTGCAATATTAATTATTGTTGTTGAACAATTTGTTTCCTGACAGGCAGGCTGCAGCAAGGAACTTCATAATTCCACCTGTTTCCTTTCCTGATCTTCAGCTCCAATCACATCTACATTTTAAAGTAGGGAAGCTCAATGTTTAAAAAAAAAAACATGTGAAATACAATCCTTACACATATTTTATTCAGAAGTAACTTCCAGTTGTTTCCATGGGGCTTACTCAAAAATAGGTATGTTTAGGTTGTATACTTTTGAAGGTTAAAACTGCCTCACATGGTAAAGTCTTTACTGAACTCTTTTATAATATGAATGGAGAAAGAAACAGTTAATTGTAAATAAAGGATTCCAAAAGATAACACCTTAAGTAGCCCTGTCCCTCTGTTTACTCTCCCGCAGCATACATCCCAAAAACAGTATGTATACATAAATCAGCAGAGTAGTATAAATTGGGAAATAAGCATGGGGAGTAATAGGACAGCAGAAACCAGCCACTCCTGCAACAAAACATCACAGTACTTTCCATATTTTGGATCCAGCATCGCTCTCAAAGAGAACAAGCAAGAACAAGTAGCAATCTATGTCAGAACAATCCAGCAACATCTGTTTCCCCAAGAAGACCCAGAAGGATGTATGCGTAGGAATGCACTGCCACTTCTAGGGGGAGGAGATTCCAAGTCCAGGGAAACCTTTCATGACCAAGCTGGATATTAAAGACCAAAACATCTGGAAGGCCAAAGGCTCCCCACTTCTCCCCTAGCCCTCTATATCTGTCTCTTACAAACAAAACTTCAAAGACATATACAATTTGAGAAAATCATGACAGATTGAGAAAATCATTACAGATTGCTCAGCTTCCAATTTTACATTTCAAATGATACATGCACAGACCAGCGAACTGATCGCTGATTCAGTCAGTGGCCTCATATCTTTGCTGTGTACAGTGGCCTGATTTGTTTGTTTGGATCCTATTAGTTAATTCACTGCCTTGATCTCTGGGATACTGGCAGTTTTCCTTCAGAAAAAATAGGGATAGGCTTCAAGGATGAATCCACAACATTAAAAGTTAATTGTAAGCCACTAAGGGTGCAAACACACTGGCCTTGTGGTGTGGACTGGTACAGTCTAAGTAGGTTTGCTTGAGGTCAAGATGAGGAGTGTTAAGCCATCTGGTGCAATCCTTGAATCCAAATGGCATACCAACTCCAAACAATCCTATTTCCAGGCAGTGAGAGTGTAACTATGATGATGATGACGGCAAGGCCTCTACTAGACTGGACCGTCGCTGGTGCACTGAAAATTACATTTTAAAAAACATCTTTGTGTGTAGTGCCTAAACAGAAAGTGCCTGCTACCGCGGTTTCAATCAGCACTTCACATAAAGGCAAAGAATTTTTTTTAATTGCCCATATCCTGAATTGGCTCATTTATTAAGTCACTTCACAATACCAGAAATTGAAACTAGAAGGAGCCTGCAAGACTTGATTTTAATCCATTCACAGTGATCACATGCACTGCAAATGGACTAAACTAGAGCACACCAACCTGCACCAAAAAAAATTGAAGCTTCTGACATGGGATCAAAAAGGTGTGAGTTGGGCTGCTCTGGGGCAAATTGGTCTGCTCTAGTGATTGCGTTGTGTGGTCACCAGAAAAAAGAGCAAACTACTATAATGTTGCAAAAAAACCCTCCTTCCCTTCCCCTATGTTCTCCTCTCATTCTTTGCTCCTTGCCTAAAGTATCTTTTATAGTTGCTCCGTATATTCTTTTAACAGTAATTACTGTATCTTTTCCACCGACAGTCAACAATTTCATTTGGTAAGTCACAGTCCTCTATAAACAGTGAGAATATTTTTTTAATGGAAATCTCTATTGCTTTTACCAGGGTAGCAAAATAAAACTCCTCTTAATTACAAGGCTGGCAAGTTACTACTATGGCAGATAATTGCTTTTTATTTAGACCTTTGATTTATCAGGTTTAGAATAGATAAGATGTTGTCAGTGTAAATTACTGAAGGAGTAAGTTATGGGACCAACAATTTGCTGCACCAGCAAACACTATCTACTGGTCATGTTAACACATTTGAACGTTTCACATAGAACAGGTCAATTATTTCAGTACTGTTTCAGTATCTTACCCATGCAACACTTGCAGTCTTGACAGGCATATGATGTTGTATTCACTGCTACAATGTCTATACTCCACTACACCACTGAGCTCAATTAGCCCTTCTCTTGATGGTTCATGGTCACCGACTGGAAGATGATGTGGCCATACTCCCTTACCTTTACTGGTAGGGGCAGATCCAAACAGTCTTCTGTTTACCCAAGACAGGGAACAAAAAGCATCATTTCCAGTGTGTGGGGGCCGTCCCCAGCAGATCAGTCACTGCCTGGCCAAGGAGCGGTGGAAATTTGGGATTGTACTCAGGTGCACATGGTATGTTACAGTGCCTTTTAGATGGCCCCCTTTGGGTGGCTTGTGGACGGAATGCAGTCCATGGGGATGGAATACTGAGCTCCAATTGAAAGTATTGAGGTAAAGGGAAAGGAGGGGCAAAGTTAAGAAGATGGTCAACAGCTGGTTTCTCCACATGAACAGAGGATTGGGGGGGGGAGAGACATCTTGTCCTTCAATCCAGGCTGCTTACTGTCTTCAGCCAACCCTCATTATCAAAAGCAGAGGAAATGCTAAAGGGAGCTTTTACCCTGAAATGGCAGGAATTGCAAGACAGATAAACCTCACATCCATGAAAGGAAACCAGGTGGCATTTGAATTTTAACAGACAAAGGACTATAAAACAAAATTTAAAACAGAAAACAAAGAAAAAGAAGAACTGCTGAGGCTAGATAGACTCATCTCCACAAGAGCAGAGATTTGGCCTGGATCCAATGCACAAAGTCCACCACAGCCCTTGACACACAGTTATCCACTGTATCATCTAATGGTCCCCTGAGTGCCTGCTCAGAGGCTGGCATCCTACACACAATCAAGCAAGCAGTCGTGTGGCTCAACTTTTATGAAACCCACCAGGACTGTGGCCTTAGTGAGAACCTCCCCGTTGACAGCCACCAGGGACAAGCTTCATGGCACCGCTTGGACTAAAGTCCAGTGCTGGGCGGGGAATTTCTGGAAGCCGTCGTCCATAAAAGTAACTTTTTCAAGGTCTGTCCAGGCTTTACAGCTTAATTTTCTCTTTGGCTTCTTTCCTAACTTCAAAGGGCCAGTGTTTCAGTGGGCAAGGCTGGGGAAGGAAGGAAGGAAGCACTGGACCCACTCCCTTAAACACGTAACCAACACAGATCCTCTTCCTGCTTTGGAAACGGGTCGAGGTTATCTCTTACTGTCGAGCTACGAAAGGGAGAAGAAACTGCCTGTACTGTATGTATTCAGAGGCACTTTTGGGAAGGCTTCGCGGTTCAAGTGCAGCCCTTGAACGGACTGAGGGCTCAGCCCCTCGCCTGCTTCCCACACCACTCCACGCGAAACCTGGGACTGAGAGTGAGAAATCCCTGCGCCCCCTTCGCGATGCCCATGTGCCATCTCAACCTCCTGCCTCCCCTTGTCCGAATCCCGCCGAACCCGACCCTCATCAGCTTCCGAGGAGCCACGGGGAGGACTGCGACGCGAGTGGCCCCGCCCACCCCATCCCCTCGGCTCACCGCGCCCGACAGAGGGAGACGAGGAGGCCGCGGACCCGCCGCCGTTTCCCGCGTCCTCCCCCACCGGGGCAGCGTAGAAAAGTCCTCGCCCTCGGTCACGGCGGGGAGCAGCCGGCGGCAGCAAAGGCTGTCTCTCGGGGCTGGCGCTCTCTTCCATGGTGGGAGCGGGAGCAGCGGCAG